AATTTTACATTTTTATAATAAAATAACAAAAATCAAATAATTTAAATTAAAAACTCATTCCACCTTCTTCTTTTCCATTCACCCCCTTCTCCTTCTCTTCGACCACCAACGTCGACGCCGTTGTCAATATGTCGCCGTCCTCCACCATCTCCAGCTTTACGGCAACCACAAATTCATTCTCAGCCGCACTTCCCTCACCCCTTGGAAGCGTCTCTCTCCGACATAGGCCTTCGTGCTTTGGCTTATGAGATCTTCCTCGCATTCACTCGCTCATCTTCTTCCAAAAACCCTCATCTATACTTCCAACAACCAGAGCAACAATAATAGTATTACTAGCAACGTTGGTCATTGACTTCAATAGCAGCATCGAAAATGAAGAAGGCATTGTGGCTGAGGTCTAGCTCAAAGCGGGGATCTGAAGGTAGGAGCCCAGGAAGTAAAGGTTTGGGAGGGAAAACAAAGAAGCCAATGACTATAGGGGAGCTAATGAGAGTGTAGATGTGGGTTTCTGACGCCATAGATTCAAGGATTCGAAGAGGTTTATTGAGGATTTCTTGCATCAGTTATATGTTTCTGACGCCATGGATTCGAAGATTCGAAGAGGATGATTTCCTAGATTTGCAAATTTTGAGTGGGGGTCGGATGTATGGAAAAGAAGAAGGTTGAATAAGTTTTTAATTTTAATTGTTTGATTTTTGTTATTTTATTATGCCCCTGTTTGGTGTGCATTTTTTCGAAAATGAGAATTAAAAATTATACCGTTCTACAGTGAACCTAGCTCACTTTGGCAACCATGTTTGACTGTGTTGCCTGAATTAGCTGAAAAACATAGTGAAAATACATGTTGCTCCTTACTTGTACTATGCCAAATTTAAAAAAATGACAATTATGACATTTCAAGTGCTAAAAGACGGTTGATTTTTGTGTTTTCAAATATTGCGGCTACGTCACAATAGCATTTACTGTTGCAACAGTAGCATTTTTTTTTATTTAAATGAGGAATTAATGTGCGTCAAACAAATTCTATAAAAAATATAAAATTACCATTTTAACCTTTTAAAATCAGTCAAAATTATTGTCGAAGTAAATTATTTGGTCAAACTAACAAAAATTATTCATTTGGATTTAACTGCGACATTTTAAAATGTTTGGTACCTTGAGTGGCAAATGAAAGGTTTTAATGAAAGGTTTGGTACCGCTATTGCAATTATCCCTTTTTTCTTTCATATTGGGATTCTTATATCTTCTAATTTTTTAAAAGTAAAAGAGGCGCTTGTGTGTTGCTGTTCATAAGCCGGATTTGTGGTCGGCTCAACCATTTTGGATTTAGTTGAGTTTGTTGAGCCGCTTGGAAGTTAGCTGAGTGTAAAAAATAAGCGATCTTTTTTCTTTTCTTTTTTCAGAACATTCATTTCATCTCATTTTCTGGCTTTTTTTTTTCTCTTTCTTCTTTCTAGATTTGAAAACTCTTTTTTTTTTAGATATGCTTTTGAATGTCGTTGCTTTTTTTTTTTTCACTTTCTTCTTTCTAAACCTGGAAAATCTTTTTTCTAGATCTGTTTTTCCATGTTCAAAATCGTTCTCGAATAATTCTTGAATTTTTTTCATGTCATTTGTCTTTGAAATTCCGGAAAATTGATGTTTTTTCATCAACTTTTTTATATTTATTTTAAGGGTTAATTTCACAAACGATCACTGAACTTACCTAAAAATTACAAAACGGTCACTGAAGTTTAAAATTTGCAAAAACAGTTACTGAAGTTTCAGGTGCTTTCACAAATGGTCACTGAAGTTACTATTAGGACTGTTATGATGTTAATTCAAACTTAAAGGATAAAAACACGTGGACATGGAAGCTTGAGGACCTCAAGTGCAAATTTCTTGCTATTAAGGCCCAAAAAAAAAAAAAAATTCACAATTCACGATCTGAAGTTTCAAGCGCTTTGGGAGAAAATCATGCCCTAATCTTCCAATAAATTGGGTTTGGGCCTTAATAGCAAGAATTTTTCACTTGAGGTTTTTAAGTTTCTATGTCCATGTGTTTCTGTCCTTTAAGTTTGATCTAACATCGTAACAATCCTAAGAGTAAGTTAAGTGACTGTTTATGAAAGCACCTAAAACTTCAGTGATCGTTTTTGAAAGTTTTAAATTTCAGTGATCGTTTTGTAATTTTTAGGTAAGTTTAGTGACCGTTTGTGAATTTAACGCTATGCCATTTGTTTATGCAGCCAAATTTATGCATTCTCGAGTTCTTCGGAGGATTCTTCAAGAGTACTTGCAGATCCACTTTTGCATGAATGATTTGGAGCTTCTAGAGTAATCGGGTGTTCCTGTATAGAGTTTCTTTTCGACAATGACAAAAATCATAGGGACACTAGGCCCATGCTCTCGATCGATCGAGGTTATATCCAGTTGTCTTAAAACTGGAATGTCTGGTAGTTTAATCGAATCTTTTCTTCAATTTTATTTGTTTTCGTCTTAGGAGAAGGCTTGGTTTTTTTTTTCTAATGGGTAGTGGCTAGGCATGATGTGGAGTATCATCAGTGGAGAATTTGAAGACTGCTATCAAGAGCACTAAGAAACTCTGTTTGCATTTTTATTTTTTCAAAATCTTCATTGTTATTTGATTCTTTATTATAATTCGATTTTTTTACTAAGCCACAATTTTCAATATTAACAATCATGTTGAATGAGGAATAAAAATTTCGGGCTTTATGGATTCCTTTATGCTGTTACATATACATTTTTTACTGTCGGATGCTGGGAAAATTAAGAAAATTAAAAATATGAAGTCATGTTTGAATCTTGCTGCTTCCATGATGTCAAGAAGAAGAATAATTTGATGGTTCTTATGTGTGAAGGTTTGTAGTAATTATGAATATAAATCTAAAATTATATTAAAGGTTTTGGTATCAATAAATAAGAGAACGGGGTGACTATTTATTTTTCGACTGAACTGAGTGCAAATTGGTTATCAACTTATTTCAGGTTATGCTAGATGCAATGAGACCTGAGTTACAGGTTCTTATTAAGATTGAAAATGATATAATACTTAAGGCAGAGGATAAGGTTATTCTGATGCTCGATCAAGGTTAGGAAGCATCCTCTGAAGTTTTGTCTATCAGCTTTGCGGGACTCTCCAAGGTTTAAATGCACATAGCCTTAAACATAATTATTTGATTTATTTTTTCTTTTCCCTTTTCCTTTATTTCATAACTTGGCAAGGGGTTAAGTGCAGTAGTGCTATTGCTCTATAAGAGTTTGTGAATAACATCGAAAAAAATCAAAGAGCAGCAACGTATCTACATCACTAGAAAGTTCTATCCTTATTCAGAAACGCAAGATTCGACCCTACACACCTAGAGGGGGTGATTAGGTGTAAATGCGGAATTAAAATTTAATTAA